ATTATGGCCAATAACTGCTAGTGTGTTCATAAGATACCATGATCAATTTCAATTATTTGGTCTATCAATGAACTTCTCTGATAGCATTGGCTATTGGGAAGTGGGCAGCTTCATGGCCAGGGAAAGTGCCGGTGCTTTAAATCAATTCACTTTCCTCTATTCTATAGGATATAAAGTATGGATTTTTATTTTCATCTTGCTACTCTTATTAGCTATGCTCTCATCGAAAGGATTTCTAAATTTTAGCATATTTTATGAATACTTGTTTAACTATTTTATTGCATTATTTGCAAAATCAATGCAACATTTCTTGAAGAAATCTAAACAAAATCTATTTATTGGCTTTTGGTTGATATCGTCTTTGTTTTTCTCGACACTATTTACGGCATATCTCTTGGATTTTATGGTGAAAGCGAATCCAATAGATCTGATCGACTCTTTAGAGGCATTGGCTATTGGGAAGTGGGCAGCTTCATGGCCAGGGAAAGTGCCGGTGCTTTAAATCAATTCACTTTCCTCTATTCTATAGGATATAAAGTATGGATTTTTATTTTCATCTTGCTACTCTTATTAGCTATGCTCTCATCGAAAGGATTTCTAAATTTTAGCATATTTTATGAATACTTGTTTAACTATTTTATCACATTATTTGCAAAATCAATGCAACATTTCTTGAAGAAATCTAAACAAAAGCTATTTATTGGCTTTTGGTTGATATCGTCTTTGTTTTTCTCGACACTATTTACGGCATATCTCTTGGATTTTATGGTGAAAGCGATTCCAATAGATCTGATCGACTCATTAGAGGAGTTGTCTGAACGCAAAGATATGAAAGTTTTCATCAGAAATGACAGTTCAATGGCTTCTTATGTAGAGCTCGTGGACTCGGATGTGACCAAAGCTATCAGACCTCAAATCATATATTACAGTGGTCTAGATACAAATAGTTTTATAGACGATGTTTTCAATGGTTTAAGAAATGGTTCATTTGCTTTGGTTAATCAAAAGTTATCCTTAATTTTTGATTTGATTTATTTTTCAATTAACCAAAATAATGATAAAACAAATGATAGACATTTGATGCATATATCGGATGAAAGTGGTGGTGAAGAACCATATTTTGTATTCATTAACAGTGTGTCTCACAATTGGATTTCTAAAGGCTTAAACAAAATGTAAATATTGGATATAATGTTAAAATTTTAATAATTATTGTTTTGATTATTTTTAGGATTAAAATGAGTCGAGAGTCAGGAATATATAATAAGTGGATAAAAGATACAATATTTAATAATATACGTCAAATTCATGAGATATTTCATCAGGGAAATGAAGAACAACATGATTTCACTGAGTTAACACTTAACAATGTATTTGGTGTCTATTTATTGTACTTTTCTGGTATATCTTTATCATTAACCGTACTTTTGTGTGAATTTATTTACAAAATAGTTGTTCATAAGAAATATAATAACATTACAGATAATGAAATACAATTTCATACTAAACAAGTGTATATGACATTGAATTATCCGACACGACATACCCTATACGGCTGGAAGTACATCAAAATCCCGAAAAACGAAATCCCGAAATTCATAATCCCGAAAATTATAATATCTATAAAAATAATTATTTATACATTTTGTAATGTAAAATTCATTGATATTATTAGAATAATTATTTAAAAGTTAGTTATTGTTATATTAGTAAATAAATATCTCCTCAAATATTCAATATTATAATTATTGGCTGAGATTTACTAGTGTATAACCAGTGTATAATAACAAGTCAAGTAAGACTAAATAATAACAATGAATTTTACATTACAAAAAGTAAAAATAATTATTTTTATAGATATTATAATTTTCGGGATTATGTATTTCGGGATTTCGTTTTTCGGGATTTTGAATTCGGGATTTTGTTTTTCGGGATTTTGTGTGTATATGTATACGGCCAGTTGTTTGTGTTTGAGTCTTATATTTATTATAAATAAGCTAGACTATAGCACTTAATATTACTACTATTAGTGTGAACCATATACGAACTACATTGAGAAAGGACATTTTATAGATCTATTTACTTGGTTAAATGATATGTCCACAAAACATTTGGTATATTAATTGAATACATTATAAAATATTAATTATCATAATCTTGTGATTTGAAAATGAGTCAATTTTTATGTACTCTGTTATGAATATTAGTTTCTTATTAAATATTTCAATTAATATTAACTAATTAATATTAAAATTAANCCTGTCCTTAATTGAAGCATTTACTAGAGAAATCCCGATAGACGGGTTCGATCATTTTTTATGCTCTTTCTAACGAGATGTCGATTGTTTTTCTATGACTTATAGTTTTTGCTGTACATAAAAGCTACCTGTCCCAAACTACCGGTGCTCTAATCCAGTAATCTCTTCGGGTGAATACATAAGACCAAAAACCATAGTTGAGGTTCAAAAATATTCTCAATATCTCTATCTATTGTTGAATAAATCATACCTCGCAAAACTTTTTGGAAAACCCAATATTTATATTTGAATTTCAAATTTTAAAAATATTTACCCAATAATCAAACAAATAAATGAATGAGAAGTAGGAATTATCTTCAATTAGTGATTGTGTGGTTAGTAATTCAGACACATATCCGGAACCAATTTGCACATTATGTGAGTTTTTAATATCATCTTCATTACCAGTAATACCCGTCAATACTAGACCAGGGTACTGTATTGTTTATAAAAATAATAGGTAAATGAGTGCATAAATATTATTTAAAGTAGTATTAAATGCACATACCCCGTATTGAACCTTTACACCATAATATAGAAATACAATTCTTAGTCTCAATTCACACGTTAAGTATTGAATGAATGATTTAACGAAACTAAATATAGAGAACTAGATAATTGAAACAATTGATTAGAAATCTATTTAATTATTTATTAAATTAAATTTGAGAATATACTTACATGTCGTTCACTGATCTTGTAATATATGATTAGGTTTGCACTGATATTCTGTGAGCACTGATAGGATTGTTGTGATTGTATGGGACGTCGGGAATAAAAATTATTGAGAAAATTATTTAACTCCTGATACCTTTTATATAATTCATATGACATGATTATGTATTGCTAAAATATATAATCTATTACATAGTAAATCATTAATAATATAAACTTTTAAAGTAAAAACATTTAATCGTATAAACAATACAAGTATAACTCTGAACTCTTTCATATTTTATACCACAATACTTTAATCAAATTATTTATTACACAATAAATAATTATAAATAATTACTAATTAATCAATAATCTTATAAACAAAATAATTATTAAATAACCGGGAAATGAAATAAATAGTAACGGTGCACATTATAACAAATTTAATATTGAATTGCATTGGTAGTTTTCTAATTAAAAATAAAATTAGATTTTATTATTTCATAGTTTTATTCAACTTCACTAAATGTAAATTTATGGCTACTTACTAATTAGTAATTCTTGCTTTAGTATACAAATTTATAAGTTAATATTTAATACAACAGCACTAGGATTTCAATTACCTTTAAATATTACATTAATTACAGTATACTCTGTACGTATAAATGTATTATCAATTTGTAGAAATATTATAATTATTAGTTATAGTCGTAATAAAAGTATTGGATAATGAAAATAATAATTAATGAGCTTGCACTAAAAATACAAGTCAGTTATTGACTTTTAATTAAAACAGTATTTTTATTTTTTATTTTGTATTAATACCCGTACAAATACTTTTTAAATTATTATTACCTAATAATGTATTAATAAATAATCTTAATTATGGTAAAACTGTACCCTACTGTTAAAAACAAGTGCAAACATATTATTTTTTCTCATGTAAAAAATTAAAGATTTAATTGCAATAATTATAACAATTTTATTGATTTGTAATATAAAATTACAGGAAATTAGTTTATAAAAATTTTAGTTAATTAATATGATTCAGATATTAATATATGCATATGATTATGAGATTCAATTGCTCAACATTAAAATCAAAATTATTTTTGAAGTTAAAATTAAATTTATTAAAACACATCTAAAAGTCATTAATCACTGTCGATATCCTCAGCCTCCCTGTCCTCATCTTCATCGTATAAATTCCTGATTCTCTTCGACATAAAAATCACAAATACATCAAATAGTGAGGCCATACAATACAAGGTAACAGTGAGTCCGTGCATATATATCCTAAACTTGTCGGTGTCATACACCCAACAGTTACCCTTTTTGCCGCACTTAGACTCCCATAGCTTACACGAGGCGTCCGCTACCAGTCCGTACACCAGTGGGTACGGGAAGAATGCTGTCATCAGTACAAACAAACTCAATACTTAACATATATAAACATTTGTGAAATATGTGTTAATATACCAAATATGTTGCAAAATGTACCCATCACTCCCATTGCAAAACTTTTATCTACTTTATCCACAATTCTATGCATTTACAAAAATCACATAAATTATTTATTTATTTTATAATAGTATCTGTGATGATGTACCTCAACATAATTATAGTATTGCCCGTCCAGGCAAGGGTTCCGATCAAATTACTGATACTAAAGAGTGTGACATATGTCTCAAAATTATTGCCACAATCCGTCTTACAATAACCTTCAGTAGCCATACCCTGGCCTTTAATGCACCCACACATCGAGTATTGCTATGAATGGGAATTTAATTTAAAATGTTTTACACTAATAATAATTTACACACATTTAGTCCGTCGGTTGACTGAATCAATGAGTTTGGTTGACATCCGGCAAAACAGGGGGAGAAGTAATTGGTGTAATTGTCGGGACCACAGATAGGGGTAAATCTTTTCATTGTGCAAGCACAGTTTGCACTGCACGACGATTGAAAACTTAAACCACTGCACCATAACAAAATATAATTTGATTTTGAAATCTTAATAAATATGAAAACAGTATTTCTGGTCTCACTTCTCATTAGTAGGCGGAAGGTCTGCGAAGTGCGAGGCCGGGCAGCCCAGGAATATAGCCGAAAACATACCGGTGTTGCCCAATACTTCCACAACTGTCACAACTATAGCTAGTGTTTTGGCACCTGGTTTTAAGTACGTTATATAGGCGCCACCAATAAATAATCCTATTACTGATGGTACTACACCCACGATCCCTGATGGATTTAAATTAAAAATTTTAATTAACATAACCAACACACAAATATTTAAGTTATTAATTAATAAATAAAAAATACCGGAAAATAGATTAGCTTCAGACGCAGACTTTTTATATTGAGATTCAATGTATTTGGGTTTGAATGTCATATACCCTAACCCTCCCAGCAAACGCAGGGTCACCCCAACCGTTATACTTATATAAACAGGGTTCTTTGCTAAACGCAATAAACGGGCTCTCAATGCTGTAATAGTGAAGTTGAATTATATTACGATTGTATAATTACTGATTAGTAATTACTTTATTATGAATAATACAAACTTAGGTCTAAACTAGACTTCTGTTTACGAATGGCTTTCCTATTATTTGCTATATTTTCCGATGCTTTGGATTTGGATTGAAACTCATTGGGGAACATGAATAATGGTAGGCTCACCAAAAGGATAGCCGTTGCTATTACGACAAACCCAATCCACCAAGCACCTACCCATCGAGGATCCTTTGTCGAAATACCTGGGTTAACTAAATAGGAAAATATTAATTTAATAAATTTACATTTTCTTAAATGTAAAGAATTCAATACTAAACTCAATGGGTTTTCATATAAAGTTAATACATATGAAGACATGGCATATGCAAGGGTCGGCCCCAAAAAGCGTAGAGATCCCGATACACCTGACAATACAAACAAAATAAACTAGATTTTTTTCATACACTTATTTATATTATCTAACCACTACCACTAAATAAAAATCAAAATTGACTATTAAATAATTAATATTATGTTCAGGTATACATATAAACAAACATATGTATTTTACTTAAGTACATTGGTGAACTTTTCTTGGGAACGTTATCATCAATGAAAGGGAAGCCAATAGTATAACAGGCGGCCGAACCGAAGCCATTCATAAACATAGACATAAAGAGACAAATGAAGGCAACGGTAGCCATATTAGAGCCGCTATTTTGCTCACAACCCGTGTCCTCTAACTTATTTATGTCACAAAAATCTATGGTTTTGTTTCTACTAACGGTTGAGCCCAGGAGGTGAACTCCCGGGCCGTATATAAAATAGGGCAGAGCTGCGATGTAGCACCCGATGGCTACCACTATCTGACTACAGGCTATTAATCGCGGTCGATGTACGCGATTAGCCAGGTATCCAAAGATGGGAAAGGATGTCATTTCACTTATATTATCGCCGATTAGTATAATACCAGACATGAGACTCCCGAAGGCGTACCGCCTCTCGAGGGTCGTGACGGAAGCCATCATATATACATAGGAGGCGCCCTGTAATATGCTTATCAAGCCAAATATGAACACAAACGTATTAGGTGTGGCCCATCGCTGAATCCATTTGGGCCGACACGAGCCCACACCACAGCCCGGTGTCTCCTCTTGAGATCCACTATATATAGCCATTATTTATAAGTTATGTGTGAATTGTGAGACTGAAAATCACTTTTTATTTACACTTTTATATAATGTTTTAAATAAATATTAAATCAGAATTGTACATCTAATAATGTATACAGTATTTTTCAATCACATTTTGCCATCATAAATTTTATATTGAATTCTGTGAAATACAACTTCAATTAAGATGTTGATTAGATGTTACTGTCAATTACAGATAGACATAACTGTCTTACAATTGGTAATTTTACGAAGGTCTTTACATTTAATTTAATCGCATCAAAAATATAGCTTTCATTTTTATTAATGTGTACAAATCTGTAACTTCCCAAATAAATCTGTATCAAAGTGATATTTTCACTATTCATCAAGTATAAACTTATACTTTTTATACTTTTTATACTTTTTATACTTTTTGTACTTTTTATACTTTTTATTAATTTATACTTTTCAATAAATTTAATTTTGGTAGAGATCAAAATCCAAGAGAGTTCATATAATATAAATTATTTGTGCTTATATGAAAATGTATATTTCACTAATTACCAGTACTTACAATAAATAAATGCAAACACTTCGCTTTAAATGTAATTAATTTTTAGTTACCATTTAATTAAATTTAAGTAAATCATGAATCTAATTGTGTAATAAAATTATATTTTTTAAAGACAAAAAATAATTTATATTGATATGAAAATAAAAAGCTTTTACACGGATTTTTAATTTATAAATGTACCATTATTACAGTATTATTTTACTAAAAATAATGATAGTTGATAATCATATTAATACAAATTTACATAGAATTCATACTGAAGGTATTCCCTTTATACTATATTTATGTCAATATAATGTTTGAAAATTCAAATGAAACTGTTAAAACTATCAATAAAAATACTATTATTCACAATCAATATCTACAACCTTGTCATCCATGTCCGCCCTGTCCTCATCTTCATCGTCGTATAAATTTTTGATTCTCTTATACATAAAAATTACGAACACATCAAACATAGTGGAGCATAGATACAGGATAATAGTGAGTCCGTGCATATATATCCTAAACTTGTCGGTGTCATACACCCAACAGTTACCCCTTTTGCCGCACTTAGACTCCCATAGTTTACACGACGCGTCCGCTACCAGTCCGTACACCAGGGGGTACGGTATGAATGCTTAAGAAATATACAAATTGTATATTTAGCATATAAAATAGCTTGAAAAATATTCATTATACTGTAATACCAAATATGCTGTGAAATGAACCGCTGACCCCCAGAGCAAAACTTTTGTCTATTTTATCCACAATTCTAAACGTATAGAGAATACACAGAATTATATAAATATGAATAACTTTAAAGAAATTTGCAACAAAATTAATATTAATACCGAAACAAAATGATGGCATTTGCAGCCTTGGCTAAAGTTCCGACCAAATTACTGATACCAAAGAGTGTGACATATGTCTCAAAATTGTTACCACAATCCGTCTTACAATAGCCTTCAGTAGCCATTCCCTGGCCTTTAATGCACCCACACATCGAGTATTGCTATGAATAGGAATTAATTATATGTTATTGTATTTATAATAAATATAATTTACATACATTTGGTCCGTCCGTTGACTGAATCAATGAGTCTGATTGACATCCAGCAAAACAGGGGGAGAAGTAATTGGTGTAATTGTCGGGACCACATATGGGTAGAAATCTTTGCATTGAGCAAGCACAGTTTGCGCTACACGATGATTGAAAACTCAAACGACTATAATACAGTATAGAAATTAATTGATTTTTCATATGTTTGCAAAATTTAGTATTTAATCATTACTTCTCAGTATTTGGTGGAAGGGCTGCAAACTGTGAGGCCGGGCAGCCCAGGAATATTGCCGAAAACATACCGGTGTTACCCAATACTTCCACAACTGTCACATATATTGCCAATGTTTTTGCTGTTGGTTTCATATATGTTACATATGCACCACCTATTAAAAGCCCTATTGCTGACGGCACTACACCTACCAGTCCTGTTAAGATATTTATAAAATAAATTATACACCTCTACAGAATATTTTTATATTTTAATTAAAATAATAAATAATAAAAATACCTGAAAATAGATTAGCTTCCGACGCCGACTTTTTATATTGAGATTCAATGTATTTGGGTTTGAATGTCATATACCCTAACACTCCTAACAAGCGTAATGTCGTCCCAAAAAGTATACATAAATAAATGGGATTTTTAACCAGGCGCATTAAACGGACACCTAATGCTATTATATTATAATTAGGTAAATCAATGTTAAATTATATACAAATATTATATCGATATTATACATACCTGTATCGATATTAGATCCCTGTGTGCCTATGGATTTGCTATTGTTTTTCACTGCTTTTGATTTTGTTTTAAACTTAGCCGGGAATAGAAATAATGGCAAACTTGCTACAATAATAGCTGTTGCTAATACTACAAAACCAATCCACCAAGCACCTACCCATCGAGGGTCCTTGGTTGAAATACCAGGGTGAACTAAATTTGCAAACAGAAAAAATTGTTTTATTTATTAACAATACTTAATTACAGAGTATAAATAGTTTTAATTAATGTATGATACAAATATTGAATTCAATACTAAACTCAATGGGTTTTCATATAAAGTTAAGACATACGATGACATGGAGTAGGCGAGTGTCGGCCCTAAAAGACGTAGACATGCGGATATACCTAATAATTACAAAACAAGCACCTATTTATAAACATACTTATAAGTTATAAGTAAAAAATTTTAAATAAAAAATATTGTCTACTTATATAAATGGGTGAACTTTTCTTGGGAACGCTGTCATCAATAAAAGGGATACCAATGCTATAGTAGGCCGACGAACCGAAACCATTCAAAAACATAGACATAAACAGACAAAACACGGACACCATAGCCATACTGGAGCCGCTATCCTTTCCACAATCCCTGTCCCCAAACTTATTTATGTCGCAAAAGTCAATGGTTTTATTTTTACTGACAGTTGATCCTAACAGATGAACTCCCGGGCCGTATATAAAATAGGGCAGAGCTGCCAAATAGCACCCAATGCCCACAACTATTTGGCACCAGGCTATTAGTCGGGGCCGATGCACCCGATGAGCCAGGTATCCAAATATGGGTTGGAATGTGAGTTCACTTATATTATCACCGATTAGTATGAAACCGGAGACCAGACTCCCGAAGGCATACCGTTTTTCAAGGGTTGTGACAGAGGCCACCATATATCGATAGGAGGCGCCCTGGAGTATGCCTATCAACCCGAATACGAATACAAACATATTAGGTGTGGCCCACCTCTGGATCCATTTGGGCCGACACGAGCCCACACCACAACCGGTAGTCTCTTCCCGCGATTCACTATATATAGCCATTATTTATAAGTCATGTATCAATTGTGACAAAAACTTTTTATTTACACTTTTAAAATGTTATTTATAACAAATACTTGACATTTTTATCTTAAACATATTTAAAATCACAATTATTATAATAAGTTAGTATTGAATTTTGTAAAACATAACTTTATTTCAATTTTGGATTTTTAAATAATTTAATAAATATGTGGTTATTTAGACATTTTGTTGTGGATTCTGGGAAATTAGATTATATTATCTATTATTAAATATTAAGGATGAAAATTACATGTAATTTATTTTTTCACTCGGTAACTTACGTAACTTACGGTAACTTACGGTATTTTTCGTAAGTTATTATTTCATCACATATAAATATTTTTACACAACATTATTAATAATTGTGTGTAATTGTGTGCAGACTTTAAGCGAATACTACCGGCGCTGAGTAGCTTTCCCTGAAGGAAATCGCCAAACGGCTCAAACATAGGGTTTGTTTGGTGACCACTGGACAGGCATGTCGTCGCCAATACAGTGCCGATAATTATTAATGACTTCATTGTAATTGAAAGCTTATATCCATTTCATACACCTTTCCCTCGACTCTTATATACTCTTCAATCACTTCCCAAACGAGTTATCATTAAGGATGAAAATTACATGTAATTTATTTTTTCACTCGGTAACTTACGTAACTTACGGTAACTTACGGTATTTTTCGTAAGTTATTATTTCATCACATATAAATATTTTTACACAACATTATTAAATAGTTAATATAAAACAATTCAATTTTACATAAAAATAATATAATAATAATAGAATTGTTAATTAAATAAACAATTTTAACTGAATTCATTTATTTTTGAAAATTAATTAAGTTAATGTAAATTTTAAAATTTATTAGAGTGAGTTTCAGATATTTTGCCAATAGGTGTCGCTAGTAATGGTTTTGTAAGTTACATGTAAGTTATTTTTTGTTTGTAAGTTACACGTAAGTTACGTGTAAGTTACAATGTAAGTTACGTAACTTACAAGAGCTTACATCTCTATTAAATATACATAACTGTCCCCTTAATTGATAATTATGTGAATACGAAGGCCTTTGCATTTAATGTAATCGCATCCAAAATCTAATGTTAATGTATGTCTACACGGATATAATTTGTGTAACTTATAGCCTCTCAACCAAACTTTGGTTACCAAAGCCTTGACAGTGTTTATGTGGTAAATAAACGACAAAAACACTTAACTATTTCATTTAAAATAAACTATTCAAGCAATATTTTATAGTTTTGTTTAGTTCATTTAGTAACTATAATTCATAATTTAAAAGTCACCATTTCTATTTGTTAAATTAGTATTTACAATGCGAATACAATAAACACTAATTTAATGCACTGTATAATTAACAATTGTGGTTGTATTACATAAACACGAGTTTATATATTTTTTAGATAAAAGTACAGTACTGGTAGTATCGGTTGATAATGCTTCCCATTAGGGATCATTCAATAAGTACGTACGCACTGGATGGGGGGAGGGGGGGTCAGCC